AACCCTGTTTTTGTATATTTATTGCATTTTTCTATTATTTTTATAAAGTTTTAAATGACTGTTTGGTATTTCTTTATCCATTTTTTTGATTAAATGTTTGTAGAATTTTTTCCCTAAAAACAAAACAAACCATTAACCCTTTTTTGGATGTGTTGCAAATACTTTCTTATTCTATTACTTGTCCTTTAACTCTTTTAATATGTATATTACTGTACAGTCTTAAATGTTTAATATAGTCATATTGTCATATTTTACTTTATAGCTTCTGGGTTTGAATATTTTACTTCAGGGTAAGAACAGTATTAGTTTGCATTTTCTCCTAAAACTCCTTAGTTTCTACATATTGATTTTTAACTCACCTGAATATTTCTTGTATAATATGTGAAATAGGGCTCTATATTTGTTTTATTTCAAGTAATAGTGTTCTGTGCACCTTATTTGTTGAATAAGCTTTATTTTCCCCATTGATTTGAAATATCAACTTAATCATATATTACATTGTTAGACAGATATATACATTTGTCTCTAGAATGCTTATTATATTTCATTGATCTACTTGATTATTTCTGTGCTGGTGTCATGTTGTTTGAATTGCTGAGAATTTATAATGGTTTTAAGTTTTTTTATATTTTATAATTAACTTTGACATTTAAAAAATAAATAAAATCAATTTGCTTTGAAGGAAGGAAAAAGGAAGGGAGGGAGAGTAGGAGAATGAAAGAAGAAAGAAAGAAAGAAAGAAAGAAAGAAAGAAAGAAAGAAAGAAAGAAAGAAAGAAAGAAAGAAAGAAAGAAAGAAAGAAAGAAAGAAAGAAAGAAAGAAAGAAAGAAAAAGGAAGGAAGGAAGGGAGGGAGGGAGGGAGGGAGGGAGAGAAATGGAACTCCTACCTTTTGCGACAACATGGATGGAACTGGAGAATATTAAGCAAAGTGAAATAAGCCAGTTGATGAAAGACAAATACCATATGATCTCACTCACAAGTGGACTCTATTCAACAAAATAAACCACAGACATGGAAACATGGAGCAGACTGAAAGTGACCAGAGGGGATGAGGAAAAAGGACAATGGTGGAAAGAAGGGGAAGGGACTAGACAAAGAACATGTATGAATGACTCATGGACATGGAGAACAGAGTGGGAATTGACTGTGGGAGTGGGGGGTAGGGGTGGGATGGGTGGAGAGGGCAAAGGGGGAGAATTGAAATAACTATAATAGACTAAACATGATTTAAAAATTAAAAAGTAAAATAAAATAAAACAAATATTATACCTAAAACCATAAAATTTCTAGGAGAAAACTAAGGCAGTAAAATCTTGGACATTGCTCACAGCAATATTTTATCAGATATGTCTCCCCAGACAAGAAAAACAAAATAAAAAATAAACAAATGGGACTTCATCATACTAAAAAGTTTTTGCACAGAAAAGGAGACCATCAACAATAAAAAGACAACCCACAGAGTGGGTGAATATGTTTGCCAATATATTTGATAAGGGGTTAATATCCACAATTTATAATGAACTTCCAAAAAACTCAACAGCAAAAAAGCAAACAATCCAATTAAAAGATGGACAAAGGAACTGAATAGACATTTCTCTAAAGAGGACATACAGATGGCTAATAGATGAAAGATGCTCAACATCACTGATCATCAGAGAAATGCAAATTAAAACCACAGTGAGATATTACCTCACACCAGTCAGAATGGTTGTCATCAATAAATCAACAAACAAGTGCTGGCGAGGATGTGGAGAAAAGGGAACCCTGTTGGAGGGAATGCATATTGGTATAAATTCTGTGGAAAGTAGTATAGAGATACCTCAAAAAAATAAAAGTGGATCTGCCTTTTGACCCAGCAATCCCACTTCTGGGAATATATCCGAAGAAACCCAAAACACTAATTCAAAAGGACATAAGCACCTCTATGTTCACTGCAGCATTATTTACAGTCACCAAGATATGGAAGCAGCCCAAATGTCTTATCCGTAGAGGAATGGATAAAATAACTAAGGGACATTTTCACAATGGAATACTACTTGCCTGTAAAAAAGAAGAAAATTTTACCCTTTGCAACAGCATAGGTGGATCTTTATGCTGAATGAAATAAACCAGTCAGAGAAAGACAAATAGCATATTATTTCATTTATATGTAGAATCTAATGAACAAACTGAACTAACAAGCAAAATAAGAACAGACTCATAGATAGAGAGCAGGAAGACAGCAATGCGGGGGAGGGAGTTAGGGAGTAGAGGAATTAAGCAAAAAGAAACAGTGATTCATGGACATGGCAACAGTGTGGTGATTACAGAGGAAAGGGGGTAAAAGGCAGTTAAATGGTAATGGAAAAATACCACAGAAAAAAATAAAAGAAGAAGTATGAGTTCAGATTTTAATACCCAGATTAACTACCATTTGAATGTGATGGCAAAATCAAACATTATGAGATATATAAAAACCAAAAGCTATTATTCTATCCAGAGGTTCAGAAGTACAGTGAAAGTGTTTCTGCAATAGGGAAGAGATGGAATTATTAGATTGGGGAACTTGAGAAAAGAAATACAGCATATTTTGTTCTTTTTTTGTCTTGTTTATCTGCAGCAGTATGCATTCCCATCTTCCATCTGCTCTCTTTATATAGTATGAATGATGAGATAGCATCTGCCTATCAAAGGAGAGACCTATATAACTAGGTTTCCCATAAGCAGACCTGGAGTCAAGGATTTCATTTCAAGTAGTTCATTTAAGAATTAATAGCAGAAAGCACTAACAGAGTAGTAAAAAAAAATGGCTCTGGGATGGAAGGAAATCAATGTAGGGTTTCATTAGTGAGTATGTTGTATATGTGGACAACTGAGCTTAATTACACCAAGAACCACATGAGCACTGTATAAACAAACATTCCTCAGTTATATTACCTCAAAGTTGAGGAATCTGGTGTATATATTACTCTACTGCTGTCTGTCATTTACTGATGACAACCACGTAAGAAAGTGCATGGTCTGCCCATAGAAAAACAAATGTTCTTGCAAAAAAAATAAACCCTCATTCCAAGAGTTGCTACTCTTCCTTTTCATAATAAGTGTTTGTCTACTCAGGGACAATGACTGCCATAGGTTTGTAAATGGAGCACCAACAGCCTGTGCTACAGGACAATCATTCATGGTATAAAGAAGCCCATTTGTCTACATATCTGAACCAAATTTATAGTTAACAGTACTAAAACTAATTTAATTTCTATCCTTCTAACTCCTATATCGTATCTGTGTATTCATTGCAAATCCAGAAAGGAAAATAAAGATATTGTTTATAAATCTCCTAACAGTTCTGGTCACCTAGTATTGGGCTAGACCAACTAAAAGTATAAAGAGAAAAAAGGAAATATTTTGTCTATAAAAGCAAAGTAAATTTTAGCAATATTTTTCAAATATTAATAATTACCATAAATTAAATAAATTAGATATGCTGCTCATCTATTTACGTTTTGAGGGGAGACCTCAAAAAACCAGAATTGTCTTCTGGAAGGTGGGCCTCATGTAGTATAGACTTCCCCTGCTAGGTGGATGTTCTGGGAACCCATCTGTATCAGCGTACCACCTGGTGGTAGTGTGAGAGGCTGTGTTCGGCTTCAATGAAATTTTTTTTGATTCTTTCAATGCCTTTGCCTATTTCATGTTGGGTGATTAATGAGTGCACCTGCCCACACCACGCTGAATGTTCAGGAGTTTTTGACCCAAAACAGCATCACCCCCATGTCCCACCATCCCTATTCACCCAATCTCAACCCAAGCAACGCTTTTTTGTTTCCCTAGATGAAAAAAGTTCTCAAAGGGAAATGTTTTGGAAAAGGTGAAACAAAAAATGGCAGAAGCAATAAAAGGCCTCCAAATCTACAAGTTAAAAAACTGTTTTGAGCAGTGGAAAAAACGTCTTGATAGAAGTATTATATTAAATGGAGAGTACTTGGAAGGTGGCTGAAGTTTAAACACGTTAAAATAAACATGCAATGTTTTATAAATAAACTCCAGGTTGTTGGGTCGCCCATTGTACACCTTAATAAAAACGGGGTGGGTGAGAGGAATGACATGAATTGCTAAAAATACATCTTTGTGCTTCAACATACCAAACGTGACATACCAAATTATGTCCCTCTGTGCAGTTTAATTGCTTCTTCCTTAGGTAAGTAAGAGGAACTGATTGCTCTCACAGGGGACTTGCTCCCCCAAGAGCAACATGTCTGTACAATTTTCTCCTGGTTCCCCCTCTGAAATCTCAATATGACTCCACACAAGATTTTTTAAAAGAGACTGGACTCTGATCAGAGCCAGGTTGGTTACCACATGTTCAAATGAATGCTAATACTTTTTCAGTCCACTCACCGCACTCTCAATTATTTTTAGTAACTCTTTAAAGACAGTCTTCATTTGCTATTCACAGACACAATACTGGAAATTATATGTAAGAAATAATTTTATTACATCTGTTTTACAAATAAGGAGACTTAGCTCAGCAGAAGGTAAATAACATTTTCAAGTACTCAGAAGAAAATTCATGGTAGATGAAAGACTTAAAACAAGGCTTCCTAGCTCCATGTTAATGATCTTTCCACCATCTCTTCATGCTTCAGGGATATTGGAAACTTTTGACTGGTACATGAGAGACAGTTCCTCCAAAATTATTTGTACATTCTTCCAAGGATGAATTTCTAATATCAGACTCACAGTTCAAGATTGCCTTTTTCTTCCCTCTCAAGGAACATGGTAAGCTTCTGTATTCAATATATAACATTCAAGTGTAAATACATTTTATTCAGCAGATAGATGGTAGAATTTATGAAATGTCATGCTGCTTTCCTTCAGAGGATCAGCAAAAACCAAGGATAGACAATGTTCTGATTGAGTAGATTGTCGATGCATCCTGTTCACCATATGTGGGGTTGTCAATGAAGGATAGCTAACTAGATGATGAAACAACTTGTCTTTAAATTCCAGAAGGGTCATCATGAAAATACAAAGATTCTTTTTTGCAATTTTATTGAAGGTGCTCATTTTATTTTTATGAATTTTTAAATTAAATTTATAGGACTTACACTGGTTAATAAAATGATTTGGGTTTCAAGGGTACAATTATATGATCTGTATATTGCATCATCTGTATATTGCATTGTGTGTTTACCACCTAAAGTCAAATCTCCTTCCATCACCCTATATTTGACTCCCTTTAACCTTCACTACCTCCCCCGCCCCACTTTTCTTCCGGTTATCATCACACTGTTGTCTGTGTCTGTGAGTTTTTGTTTATCTTGTCTATTCATTTGTTATTTTCAGTTTTATACCCCACATATTCTTACTCCATTTTCACTATCATTTCCCCATAATAGACCCTTTTCATTACTTGCACATTTAGAAAATCTAAAAGTGGGGTGGTAAAGGCACAAGTCATGGAATCAGTTGGAGAAGGATTTGAATCTTGAATAAGGTAACATTTTCCATAAGGCCACAAATTCCACATAGGTGGAAATTTAGGAAGGCACATAATCTCTCAAATCCTCCATTTTCTTAATTGTAAATAAGCTTTCTGTATGGATGTCCTTCCAAAGATTTCAAGTATGTGTATAGACTTAAAACATTGTGCTTGCTTATGAATAATCTGCAAAAACAGAGTCAGCCCAACAGACATAAATTTTCAACCCTCAGTCCTTGTCACCCAGCTAAGTGTTGACTGTAACAACAGTAAAAATGAGTCTAAGATACAATAGGAGCCTTTATGTAAAATTTATGTAAATTGTAAAAAATGCAAATCAAAGAATAAAGCTAGCAGATTTCAAAACCCATCCACACCTTGAACCTCCCCATTTTACTACTTAACCTTTCCTAAACCAACAGACATCATTTTTCCATTCTAAAGATGGCACGAATAAGGAATGCATTACACACACTCATTGTGTGAAGTGTTTATCATGATTATTTCATTTAATTCTCATGATTATTCTGACACAGGTTCTGATATCACCTTCATTTTACTGATGCATTAAATGAGGTTCAAGAAACTTCATTTAGGACCAATGTCTCCTTCATAAGTTATAGGGCCTATAGAAGAATGTATATGCGCATCATCCCAAAGCCCAATTTTTTTAATTAATTAATTTATTTTTCCAAATACATTTGTCTCTGCCTTCCCTCCCCAAAGCCCAATATTTTACAGCCAGTTCTATACCTTCTCTTTAGAGTTGCCTTTGTTGGTTGTATTTATCTCTCATACTGAATTTATCTCACTGCATCATTATATGCATACACTTGTGAATTATTCCACTGTGCAAACCAAAACATTAAACTTGGTGAATGGATTCAATGATCAAATATAGATTAAATAAACTTTAAATCAATTCAAATTTACTAATGACATTTAGTTTGGGGACCATTCTGATTGGGTCTAAAGCATGTTCTGTTAATGTATATTTGAATAAATATACACTGTTCATGTATATTTGAATAAATTACTCAATATTTTGGTTGCCAAGTTATCTCATAAATAAATGGGCATAAAAACTAATTAATTTAATTGAGATAATAAGAGTATTGAATGAATATACATGAGCACTATAGAAATATAAGCTATTAGTAGAGTCAAAAAATCTAGTTTGGGAAATCAATCCACTGCAGGCATATGACCTTGAACAGTTCTTTACTCTTGCCTTTGACTTGGTTTACACATGTATAAAATTAAGAAGTTGGGAAGAAGATTTGTGAAAAGATTTGTACAAAAACCTATTACTTTACAGATAAGTTATCCACTAAATTGCATTGTCATTCTCATGCTGTAGAAACGGAAGATATTGAAAAACAAATGATTGTTATAATAAAATAATGCTATGCATTATTTCTGTGCAACTCTTCTCTGTTCATCTCTCTATTCTCTTCTTTTTGCTACAGATATTCTGTGATTCTCAAACCACATCCATGGAGAACTGTACAGAAGTGACTGAATTCATCCTGTTAGGACTAACCAATGCCCCAGAACTACAGGTCTTTCTCTTCATCATGTTCACCCTCATTTACCACATCACTCTGATTGGGAACCTGGGGATGATCATGGTGATAGTGCTGAACTCTTGTCTCCACACTCCCATGTACTTTTTCCTCAGCAACCTGTCTCTGGTGGATTTGTGTTACTCTTCAGCGGTCACTCCTACAGTCATGGCTGGATTTCTTCTCGGAGACAAGATCATCTCCTACAATGCATGTGCTGCTCAGATGTTCTTTTTTGCAACCTTTGCCACTGTGGAAAATTACCTCTTGGCCTCCATGGCCTATGACCCCTATGCAGCAGTGTGCAAACCCCTACATTACACCACCACCATGACAACAAGTGTGTGTGCATGTCTGGCCATAGGTTCCTATGTCTGTGGCTTCCTGAATGCCTCCATCCACATTGGGGATACCTTCAGCCTCTCTTTCTGTAAGTCCAATGTGGTCCATCACTTTTTCTGTGATATTCCAGCAGTCATGGCTCTCTCTTGCTCTGATAGACATCTCAGCGAACTGATTCTTATTTTTATTTCAAGCTTTAATGTCTTTCTTGCGCTTTTTGTTATCTTGATTTCCTACTTGTTCATATTTATTACCATTTCGAAGATGCATTCAAGAGAGGGATACCAGAAGGCTTTATCTACCTGTACTTCTCACCTTGTTACAGTTTCCATATTTTATGGGACTGTCATTATTATGTACTTACAGCCAAGTTCCAGTCATTCCATGGACACAGACAAAATCGCATCTGTGTTCTATACGATGGTCATCCCCATGCTGAACCCTGTGGTCTACAGCCTGAGGAACAAAGAGGTCAAGAGTGCATTTAAGAAGGTTATTGAGAAGGCAAAATTGTCTCTGTTTTGTTGTAATGCATAGAATCTGCAAAAAGTTATTTCATTCCTCTCAGATCTGCTCCATGAAATAACTCAACTGTTAATGAATATTTGAGATATTAGAACAAAAGTTTTGTCTAATGTTATTTATTTCTTTAGTTGAGGAAAAGTTCCAATAATCCAAAATGGAGAAAAAAATATAATAATTATTTAAATGAAGTTTAATTAATGAAGTATATGTTTTTTGGCACATTTTATCCAGAGCTAAATAATCTTAACAGCTTAAAAAATTAATGCTTCGGTCATTACTGAGTGATCGGAGGAGAAAAAGCATATGCATGTGAAAGTTTTCAAAGGTGAAGAGCCATGTTAGCATAAAAGAGATATGGGTAAGTCATTTTTACCTTAACCTTTGAGTACTAATTCTTCACATTTTGTTTTAAAAATTACACTGAAGTTAATAATAATTATTTTTGAAATAGTGAATGCCACTCACTCATTTATACTTTTGTTAAGCTAGATCATATCTTATTACTGTTCTATCATTCATCCCACTTCTTTCACACTGGTTTCCTTTTTTTTTAATTGTTGTTCTCTAATGGTTGCCCCAATTTTCCCTCATTGCTCTACCCTTCCCCTTCCTTGCCCTTGTCTCAGTTTCTTTGTATTTTTGGTTTCCTCTACATAGAATATTCCCATACACTTTTCCAGTTGCTGGTTAAATGTTACCTACTCTGGGAGGTTGTAGAGGACTGCCATGGACTACGTTATAAAATGGTCACTCCCATCCACGGATTTTTCCCCCTAAATCTACTCTATTCCTCCTAGTCTTCATCAACATTAGGCTTTTAAAATCATTTATTCAGCTGTTCATCTATTTCCCTCAACTTGAATGGAAGATCCTATTGAGCATTAGCTTTAGTCTGGTTCTTTTAGTAGAAATCAAGCTTTGAGTCTTGATTTACAAATAATTTTAATGTACATTGAAACAATCCAGAAATCCCGAACTATATGGGTGGAAGTAAGCTCCAAAAACTATACACTTCAAAGGGAGAATACTGACCAATATGCATTTAATAATGACTCCAACTTTTTACAGGAATTTAGTAGTCTCAATAAACTTTCCATCCTAACATTAAACAGTACTCCCTCTTTTGAAATTTTTCAAACCCTTTGCCTGCCCACTTGCAGTCAACCAGCAACTAACAAAGGTAACTGAAGACCAGTTACAACATCTCTCCCACTTCCAAAACACATATCTTAATAAAACACTTGCTAATCATACAATGACTTAGTATCTATTTATGCTACTCAATAAACTTACTCTATTTTTTTAACACCTTGAACTCCACTGAAATGAAAGGGACTGAAGGTGGTTTTCTTTGCTGTAAGTTTATGAGCTTTGTTAATTTTGTGTGAGACAGAGTTTTCTGTTTGATATGCTTCCGAAGTGATCATGAAGAATAATGAATAAGAAAAAAAGCATTCAGGTGGTTGGGAAAAGGCCTAAGGAAAACAGTGAAAAATTTAATTATGCCCAGAGGAAGAAAATCAAGTCTCATAAAGAATTAGCTCAAGACTTCTGGTCAAGATGGAGGCATAAGTAAACACACCTTGCCTCCGTGAACAATTACAGAAAAAATTACAACTAGACTATAAAACAAATATCACTCAGAATAGTCAGAAAATTGAGCTGTATGGAAGTCCCATAACCAGGGGCTTAAAGAAGCCAATCATTCATCAAAATGGGTAGGATGGGTAGAGGTGTGGAGATGTACAGAGATGCAGATCAGGTGGTCCCATATCCCCATGTGGTGGGTAAAAATCGTCTGGAGAGATACTTGGTAGCGAGAGATCCCAGCCCCAGGCCAGACCACCCAGTGTATGGTTCCTGTGCCTAGGAAGATAAGTCCCTATAACTTCTGGCTGTAAAAACCAGTGGGGTTTAGAGCAGTGGAAGAAACTGCAGGATTCTTAGGAGAATTTTCTTAAAGGGCATGCAATAGACTTAGAACTTTCATTCCCTCTGCAATTCAGCACTAAGGCAACAGCTGAAAGAGCACCAGAGGCATACAAGGAGAAACTGAAGTGACTGGCATCAGGGTGCATGCCAGGAAACAGCTTCCTCCTGGGCAAAACTCTAGAGGTCAGGCAGCAGCATAGTTCCCTCTCTGAACCCGCCCCCACACAGAGCCACAGAGTCGTGATGTAGGTTGCCCTGCCGTGGCGATTACCTAAGGCTCTGCCCCACAATATTTACAGGTGGCTTTTCTACATAGGCCATGTTATAGGGCATCAAAGCAGTTCTTCCCAATACACAAGAAACAAACACAGGGAGGCTGCCAAAATGAGGAGACAAAGAAATATGGCCTAAATGAAAGAACAGTACAAAACCCCAGAAAAAAAAAAACTTAGCAAAATGGAAGTAAGCAACCTATCAGATGCAGAGTTAAAAACATTGGTTATTAAGATGCTCAAGAAACTCATTGGGTACTCCATCAGCATAAAAAAAAAAGCAGAAATGAAGGTTACATTAAGTGAAATAAAGAAAAATCTACAGGGAAACAACTGTGGAGTGGGTGAAGCTGAGAATCAAATCAGTGACTTGGAACATAAAGAAGAAAAAAGCATTTGATCAGAACAAGAAGAAAAAGAATTAAAAAAAAAACAAGGACAGGCTAAGGGACCTCTGGGACATCTTCAAACATACCAACTTCTGAATAATAGGGGTGCCAGAAGGAGAAAAGGAAGAGCAAGATATTGAAAACTGATTTGGAAAAATAAGGAAAGAACACTTTCCCTAATATGGTGAAGGAAATAGACATATAAGACCAGGAAGCACAGAGAATCCCAAACAAGTTAGACCCAAGGAGAACCATACCAAGACACATCATAATTAAAATGCCAAATGTTGAATTTGGGAGGAGGGGTGGGCAGGGCAGGGGAGAGGACAACTGTAACTAAACAACAATTTTAAAAAATTTTAAGTCAATCAATAAAAAATTAAAAAAATAAAATAAATTAAAATGCCAAAGGTTAAAGCTAAAGAGAGAATCTTAAAAGCAGCAAGAGAAAAGCAAAGAGTTACCTACAAAGGAGTTCCCATAAAAGTGTCAGTTGATTTCTCAAAAAGAACCTTGAAGGCTAGAAGGGACTGGCAAGATGTATTCAAAGTGATGAAAAAACAAAGACCTACAACCTAGATTACTCTATCCAGCAAAGCTATCATTTAGAACTGAAGGGCAGATAAAGTGCTTTCCAGACAAGGTAAAACTAAAGGAGTTTATCATCACCAAGTCATTATTATATGAAATGTTAAAGGCAATTATTGCATTTTGCCATGTATAATGTGTACTTTGTTCCCTAAATTTTTGAGGGAAAAATAAGGATGTTGATTATACACGTGTAGTACATGAAATACCTTATATCTGTTCTTGTGTTTTTAATTATTTGTTACATAACATTTCTTATATATATATATATGTTCAAAAATAAATGCTAAAATTCTTTTATAATAGAAAAAACAAGTATCTAAATATAAATAAATAAAACTGGAATTAAAAAATTCTTGTGGAATAAAGTTTCATTAAAAATGTTACAGAAATACTGTAGATAAATATTTGTAAAGCTACTATTGCCACTGTACCAGTATTAAAATGTATTCTACCTTGCATTCATTTACTATTTTTTATGACAGATTTTATATTATACCCATTTGAGAATCCTGTAAATGCTATGGCTTCATTAAACTGTTGCTGATCATTAAAAAAACAAGATAAAAAGTTTTTTAAAAAGTTCTTTTTCCTGAAAGTTTGGGCCAAAAACATGGGTACACATTATACATGGCAAAATACAGTATATAAGAAAAAGAAGATCAAAACTATGTACATTAAAATGGCACTAAATTCACAGCTATCAACAATTGAATCTAAAAAACAAACTAAACAAACAAGAAGAACAGAAACAGAATCATAAATGTGGAGATGATTTGGAGGGTTATCAGTTGAGAGGGGGAATGGGGAGAATGGGGTAAAAGGTGCAGGGGATTAAGAAGTACAAATTAGTAGGTACAAAATTGAGAGGGGGGATATTAAGAACAGTACAGGAAATGGAGCAACCGAAGAACTTATATGCATGATCCATGGACATGAACTAGGGGGTGGATTGCTGGAGGGCATGGGAGTACCACGTGGATGGGGGCAAAGGAGGAACAATTGGGACAACTGTAATAGCATAATCAATAGAAGATATTTTTTTAAAAAAGAAATATCTCCCATCATCAGATTTGAGGGGCCTTTTTATTGTCAATTCAGCAAGATTTGTAAACTGGCCAGTATGTCTTTAATTACTGTCTGTTATGAATGAGAGGTTTATTTTTCTATATGTCTTTACCCTGGCCCAACATTATTTATTTCCTGAGGGTGCATGTAGAATGAAGTAATTGTTTTTGGTTCACAAGTTGTTGGACCATAAGGAGCCATAGCTGCAATAGAGAGGGCCATTTAAGCTATTCAATAGCCTGGATGGGAAACTTCTATAATGATTAATTAAATTTTAGGTTATCTCCCTGGTGGCGATGAATGATATGTCCTCTGTATGGAGGAAATGTAAAACAAATATTTGCCCATAAAAGCATCACAATGGAAAAGACAGGTTCATTGTTTCTTGCAGCATTCACTTTCCACTCCTGAACACACAGCCAGGCTCAATTTCTCACCCTTCATGAAGTTAATTTAGACTATGTTATTGTGTCCTTGTCAGTTAAATGTGAGTACAAGTCATATGTGTCACTTTCAGGTTTCTCATTCAATGTTTCAGGCAATCCTCTACTCATCCTCATTTTTTTGTCATCAGCTGTACAGAGAGGATTCAAAACTCAAGAATGGCAAAATCACTAAATAGAAAAAAATAGGTTACTGAATCACTGTATTATCACCCATAAAACAACTAATTGAACAACTTGTATGACCTTGGCTGTGAAATATTAGAAGTTGCTTATATGGCATTTAGTATTATTTATACTAATAGAAAGTTCCCATAAGT